AATAAAGATGAAGGATTGCATAACTGACGGAGAGAATTTCTATAATGATCGAAAATATTTTGCGATATGAGTTTAATGAAGTGTTTACACGAAACAAATAACATTATGCGGAATAAAGACAACGGATTTCACAAATTGCTAATATATTTAATGTATTATTATACTGCAACACGATATTAAGAAGAAAAGAAGAAACACAGAATGGAAAGAGCAAGGATAGTATTGGTAGAGTTTATATGTTATATTGAATTTATCTTCAGAAGATTTTGAAGAAACTGTTAGTTATAAACAAAAGGTAATCATCTTTAACAAGATTAAAATTTTGTTAATAATATACCAGTATATTCTCCCGATAACATCGCTTTGATTACTATAATATAAGGTTAGAGAAACTTTTTCCTAAAACTGTCTAAAGACAAGCTCTGCCACCACGGCGAGACTATCAGAAACTCGAACCTAGAGAGCCTGTATTGAAAGAGTGGTCATACAGATAAGCGGCGCAATGTGTTTTTCAAACTGCATATTTAGCCATAACCACATATTATACAGTACTTAGTTGGAGAAATAGAAATAATCTAGTACTCATTTAAATGGAAATTCGGGCAGAAGAAAATAAATGTCCTTTTCCATTTTTAGAATTAATTTTAACTATTATTATTTGTTTATTTAATATACTATTTAATAACTTTTGGTATTTGTTTATGATGAACACTTATCCAACGCGACGAGTGACGAGCCAATTCTTTTTTTAATATCCCGAATGTTAATAATTAAAGTTGTTTTATGTTATATTCTGAAATAAACGTGACAAAATGATACGAAACGTCTAGGAGAACAAAAGTATCGCATCGTCCCTCCTATTTACCAGGTAAACTAATGCTATTTATTTTCAAAATTATAAAAGAAATTATAGTTTTCATTTAATTCGTTACCTTTTATATAAAACGTTCATCAAAAATCCTTTCTCGCTGCGATTTGTGTTACATCCAGTCATACTCTAAGAATTATTAAAGTGTAAAATAAGTTAAACTAAACAATAACTTTTTACTTAACTAAAAAATATCAATATATAACAACTCGCATAAAACTTGAAAATTTATGATTAATACAAATAAACAGTATATCGTCATTCGAAGTATTTGTATATATTTGTATTATCCTTTGATTAATTTTGATTTGTTTGCAGACAACGAACGTAGAGACGATAAAATTTATCCACGAAACTTATTACGATCTCGCTAACACGTTGTTTGGAAGAATAATGGTGGCTTAAAGTCGTGTGATCACAAACGTTCCAATAGAAAAGCGTTCCTTATATGGTCACTGTCTCATTACAGGTTTTCTAGGCCTGACTTGCTGATAGTGTCTCCCTGGTTACAAAGTTTGTCTCTAGATGCTTTCTCGACACACTTCTTAAGGGAGTTCTTCAACCTTATAGGCTAGTAATCGTGACATCGCTGTCCGAATTGGAGTAAGTAAGAATACTGTTTATAAATACATTAAAAAATTCGAAGAGTGCGGAACAAATCTTGAAACTACCAAAGATTTTTTTAAGCAGTGTGCTAGGAAAAAGATGAAGAGAACAGAATTATTATTAACTGTAAACAAAGTCGTATAGGCATATAATTCGTTAACTGTTGACGGCATCAATATTAGACATCTACAATATCACTATAAGTATGATTTGTAGGCCTAGATATCTAAAAGAAGTAATTCTTTTATTTAATTTGATTATTAATTAATTTTGCATTACAGTTCTGAAATAAATCATTTGTATAATAATTTCAAGCGTGGGACCAAAATTAATTTAAATTTGTTTCATTATTTTGTTTGTTTTGTGTTTCTTTTCTCTTTCTTATCGTCAATTCGAAGTCGATGACCAGCCAATCAGTGAGTCTGAGCCAATCAGCAGACTGAGTATTCGCCGGACAACGAACAAATTAGCTAATGGAACGTGGCGCCCAACCAATCAGCAGATGCCAGGTGATTAAGAGAAAATAAAAGACAAAGACCGATGGATCCGAAGAGAAAGAAAGAGAAAAAGAAAGGAGAAAGAGAAGAAAAGAATACAGAAGAGGCGTTCATGGCCTGGATTGCTGTCCGTCTTTAGTTATTGTAAATTGTCCTATCACGTAATTATTAAATATTAATTTATTGTTGAATTGATTACGCTATTACATTAATGTTATTAAAAAAACAAAGCTTTGAGTATTTTTAGATGTAACGCGATAATATTTTGTTTAAAATTTATAGAATTGTTTTCTTTAATTTCTGACATCCGTGGTCTCTATTATATCGATAAATCTTTTCAACCATTACAGAAATTTTTTCCGTCATTTATGTTTATTCATGAAATCTGTGGATTAAATAGTATAATCTTATGAGAAGGAATGAAAAGATTTTTCAATGTTTTTCAACGCGTATATTAATTTTATTGGTGAAATCTTTTCTCTAAATACTTCAGCAGAGTGTAATAACTGATTCCCAGCCAGCATTCGATCCAGGATCTCCAAATATGATGTCTTAATTAACTGACTCTGCCATCGGCTGGTTATGTTCGGGATGTAAATGAGAATATTTCACAGATCGGGAGCAGTTTTTTGATTGAAAGTTCTTTATTTTACTTATATCTTGAAACGTGCCGCATGAGTAGTAGAGGGCTGGAAAGTTTTGCTTATGAGGCGATCACAATTTGCAATTTTCAGCCATACAGTCAACTGAAACCGCAACAGTTACAAGTTGCAGGAGCGGATCTGTAGTCACACACTACGAAATATATTTCTATAATTTATTGTTATTGTATACAATAACAATAATATATATATATATAATAGGTTATAAAATAAAAAATTTATTTATATTAAATATTCTTGTGATAAAGAAAAGGGCAGTTTAAACACTTAAAATGTAATTACTGTATTGTTGTTTTCCATTACTTTAAACTGATTTTCTGCTATTAAAATATGATTTTTCATATTAAAATACTTCATGCGTAATATAATAAAACATTATACTTAAAATAACTTTCTTGCTTACCTTCAACGCAGACTGAATGGTTAATTAAGAATTGCAAAGATAATTAACTTTCATAGTTTTCAAGTTACATAGTTGTAAATTTATTAGATTTTATAGTGTTGCAATGATGGCTGTTGTTAGTGCTGATTATCCTTTATTTATGTGGATACAGGAACAAATGGAAGACAATGATTCTTCCACTTGGAATGCATCATCATTGAAGTAAGCAGTCGATACGAACTAAATAAATTTTACTCCAGATAAACTACTACATATAGGAAGACACTCTCTATATGTTTTTGTGAGTGATGAGGGAGTGTAGGAATAGAAGAGTAATGAGGCCTCATCCTTTAAAAAAAGTTTACTACTGAAAAAAATATTTTTAATTATAGATAAAAAAATTTTGCTTCAGTACTTTTTACTATAACAATATTTTGTATATATTCTCTTAAAGGTTATCTAACTATTTACAAAAATTAAAAAAACATATATTTTCATCAGAATTTCGCGTGCAAGAAGAGTATCTGAAAATGCGTTTGTCATTCTTTTTCCTGTTTCTAGAGTATTTTCAAATAAAAATCTTTGCTTTCTCCGGAAAAAGTAACTAAGTAATTCTAATACGTTACGTAAAAGAAAAATAAAGCCTTATCTCACTGCATCATGCAAAACTGCTTACGAGCAATCTCAAAAAAGGAGATAGTCCATATTCTTTTGAGTCATTTTAAACAGGGCGAAATTAAAATGCATCAATAACTGCTGCAAAGGCTGTTAGTAATGAATTTGCAAATCACTTTTGCCAATGGAAGCATAAAATCACTACTAAGGTAGATTTACATTTTATATATGGTTATTATTTCTGTAATACGCCTCTTGTCTAGTCTTGTATTCAATTTTACGAGCTCTATAATGGCTTTTCTTTTCCGTTAGACTTATTACACCATCAATTAGAAAGTCATATTTTTATTTCATAGAGTATGATTTCGGACCTCGAGTCCCTTATCAACTCTTTGTGATGTAACTGTTTAGGAAATAATACGTAAGTTAACATAAAATTTTTAACTTACATGGTTATGAGAAGCACAGAAATGGTGACGATTGATAAAATACGGATGATAATTATTAATTTACAGGTATTTGCTATAACAATAGTTAGAATGTTAATGATTTACAAGAAGAATATATATAACATAGATGTAAAAATTGTGAAAAATTGTTGTTATTATTTATTTATATATTATCTGCTTATTATTAAAAATCAATTCTTTTCAGATTTCGGGTATCAAAAGATCATAGTTAAGCAGCATCACATAGAATTAAGACATCATTAACTAATCATAATAGTCTAATGGAATTAAAATTTCAGCTGCATGTACAGTACTGTAATATAGTAAAATGAATAAATGGTAAAGTGTAAAAAGTATTTGTATTTTAACTGTATAATGCGCACCTATTTTATAAAATATTTTATTATATAAAAGTGATATCCGGTTGTAAGAGACATAAAATAACTTAAAAAGTCTATATAAATCAACACTTTTAAAGAAACAAAACATAAATTTACACAAAAGCATTTTGTCTTTTGATCTGTTCATTCATTCTTCTCTATGATAAAACAAAAAATATAAATCGGGGGTTTCCAGTGAATCTTTTCGAGGCATTTTCGTTTAATTTTGCATTTATAAAACTGTTAAATTTGTCAAATGAATCCCTTTTGGATTCATTATGTAAAACTTGAAGATGAATAAAATTATATTTTAACGTAAGATGCATTGCAATTATTATAAAACTTACAAACCATTAAAATTTTGTATCTTTTATTATGCAAAGTATTTTAAAATTTAAACTGTAAAAGTTATTTTTAACAGCCGGGTAAGTTATGCAGTTCGTTGCTAGATTTTTTTCAACATGTACAGTATTTATACTATAATAAAATCAGTCAGATTGTTTTTGTATTAATTTATTCAAAGTTAGTTTTTATTTTTTACAGTATGTGTTTTGTACGAAATCTTCAGAAGATGATTTCCACACACTCCAGAGAGATGGGAAAATTTATATATTGCATTGAAATTACAGCGCGATTTACGGATGTCCTTTGCTTGAACGAATTTATTTTACTATAAACATCTCAGTGGAACTAATGCATTTTAATATGCAAATACTCGTGCAATGCTGAAGAGATCTCTTTTGAGCCTGGATAAATATTAAACTGAACACCCTTTAAGTTATATCTATAAATCTATGACATGCAAGATTGTTCAATTAATATACGGTATTGTGGTTTAAAATCATGTATATACATAATAGTTTTATTTAATAAAATAAAGTATTTTATTAATTTTTATGCAATACAAATCAACATACTGTAAAGTGCATATAAGTGTTTATTACTGACAATTTTATTTTTTAAATTTGTATTTTGTTATTTACAAAGCTTTTGTATAATCCTTAAATATATTATACAGGGTGTCCTAAATTACACTTGCTATTTCCCAGCTGGCTACAGCAAAAACTATTCACCAGAAAATCATGAAAGTTTGGGAATGCTTTAATGAGATGATGGAAATTTTTCTAAAGCAAAAAATGTTAGTTTGAAAAGCCACCACTAGACGGCGTTTTTAAGCTATAATACTGGCATATTTACCTGTAAGACCCCTAGACTTAAATCCATGCGATTTTTGGCTCTGGGGCTATCTCAAACACTTGGGTTTACAGTGATTCCATAACCTCGCTGTCAGACCTTAATAACAGCATAGCACGTTCTTAGTCATACACTGTATGCAACTGTTGAACATGCTGTTTTACGCTTTCAGATGGTAACAGACAGTGGTGGCCATTATGTTTTGAATATATTTTGTTCACATTAGACAGATAAGTTGTGTAGCTCAGCTTATTATTGCGTCCTGTGTAAAGCTATAACACGTTCTCTAGTTGTGGTTTTTGAAACTACATTGTTTTTGCACTAGAAAAAATTCCCATCATCTATCTCATTAAGGCATTCTCAAAAACTTTCATAGCTTTCTGATGACTTGTTTTAGCTGTAGCCAGCTGAGAAATGTCAAGTTTAATTACGGACCGCCTGTATTTTATTAACGAGATAATAATGTATGTACACATTTTTAAAATTTAATATTTTATAAAACTATGGGAAGAAATCTAATTGTATGAATTTTACCCTTCTTAAGTAAAAACCACTATAACTATCCAATAATATTCCAAAAGATTTTAATATTTCTCTTAATTAAATAAATACGTAAGCTATTTTTATTTCTGTTTAAAAGACTAACTAAAATATCAATATGTCATATAATAATATATTTTTAATGTGTGAAATTTTATGTCCTTTTATCCAAATAATGTGCATTTATTTTCAGGATTCATGAAACTGTTCTTAGGACATTTAAACGCTTTTGAGAAGTCCGGGAAATTCCGTAAAGGACCAAGAGATCTGAAAAATACATCTAATTAATATATTTGATATGAAGCAAATAAACTTAAAGATAATTAATATAAAAATTGTTACGGAAAATATTTATTTTAATTATTAGCAATTGAATGAAAAATTTAAATAAAATTTAAAATAATAATAATAATTGATTTATCAATATTTGTGTTTGGTTATGTCATAATAAAGAATAATTATAATACAAAAATGTTATTTACCTATTTGTAATATTGTCAAAAGTTTAAAACTTATAATTTTGCTAATTATTACGTTTTATTCTCTACATTTCTTATTGTCATTCGAACTGAATTTATATCCCTAAATACTACATGATATTATTATGGAATTTAAAAATTTCTATTCTTAAACAGGAAATAAATATCTTAACTACTTTAAAATAAAAAAAATTATTCCTTTTGTCAATCACATAATTAAATGAATACAGAATTATTTATTAACTAGCAGATAAGCTCGGCGTTGCTCGGGCAAAAGTAACGATAACTAAGATAAAGATTATTACGTTACAGTCAACCTTACCCGTTTTCACAGAATGCAAGAATTGGGTCCCCTTGTTTCCAGATTAATTAGAGAATTTTTAGATGGGTCTAAAAATATGTTCGATTTCCCGCAAAAACGAAAAAAACTGCATCTGCGTATTGCACGTCGCTTTCTCTTAACAATTCCATTGTTACGTAGCATTTCCATTGTTGACACTTCCATTGTTACTTA